CAATGGTTTTTAGAATGCAAATGTCAAAGGTTGGGCGTAAACGAGTGAGTCAAGTCGTGTTCTCGAGTCATCTTTAGGTTGATTAATTAAATAGGTTCGAATTTAATTCTACGAGTTCAAGTCGGTTTTTTTTAGAATGAAAGAGAGAAAATGATTATGATTCCATAAATTATTATGATAATTTTATAAAAAGAATGAAAAATTGGAAGATACGTAGTGAAGAATTATTTGATATAAGAAAAATATATTTTTTTTAATAACTTTATACTTAAACTCATGAATTCTAATATATTTTAAATATATTTTATATTAATATTGTTTAAGTAAATTTGCTCACAATAACCTAACGAGTCGAGTCAATTAGGCTAGGTCAAGCTTAACTCATTGAGCTCAGCTCATGAGTCATTTATTAATTCGAGTTGGAGCCACTCACCAATAAGATTGACTAACCTTAATTTGAATTAATACTATATAAATAATTATGTGTGGGGCCTAAATTTTTATACTTGCAGACTTGAGCAAAATAATTATGGTATATTATAAAAAAAAAATCTAAATCCCAGCCGAACCTTTGCGGGCACCCCGACAGTTCAAAAATATTATTATGTGTCTTTTTTCATAATAAACTCTATTTTCATAGCATATTACTCTTTTTTATAACTATTAATGTGTCACTTTGTTTTATTAAATTTAAGATATAACACTTTTGATATGTAATAAGAATTATCAAAATAAAAATATATAAGTAAAAATTATCTCAGTTATAACATGTTCTGGGCCATCCCGGCCCATTTGAAACTAATTTTTCTTCTATGCCAATACAAGTGTTAGGCCTACCAAGAATGCCCATTAGTTATGTGAATTTGTTGCTAAAATCCAGCCCAACTAGCAACTGGCCCTTCATTTTCTTAACTCTAAAATTGAATTTGTCTAAGTTGTTGTTTGTCATATTTCTATTTTTTTAATAAATATTTATGTTCTAAAGTCATAAATTCACATAACTAATAAAAATTTATAGTATATTCATCTCAAAAAATATTTAATGAATATAAAATTTATTTTGATTCAATTGTTTCTTTCTTTCTTTTTCTTATGCACAAGAACAATATTATATAACTTTAAAATATATATAGTTATACATGAAATAAGACAAATATTAAGAATGAAAAAAATAGATTTTCATTTTATTCTTTAAAATTTAGTTAAAATAATTTTAAAGCCATTAAGTTTACTTTTAGATGAATATAATTTGTATTTCAATTAACTATTCATGTTTTAATGTATAATACTCATTTAAAAATAAATTTAATAAATTTGATGCATTTTATTTCCTTAGTTGGAAACGCACCCACAACCGTAGTATAAAATAGCTAAGTTAGACTAAGGGCTTGTTTGGGATAGCTGTAGCGTTTTATAAAGTTGGTTATGAAGCTGTTATTTTGGTTTGAAAAAAATAAATTTTATTTTAAAAATTTCTAAAAAATAGTGAGAAATCAATAAAAAATAGACAAAAAAAATATTATTGTTGTATAAAAAACAAAGAAATAAGAAAGTTATTCTAAACAAGCCCTTAGTCTAATTCACCAATAGCCAAATTTATTTTCAATCTAAAAATTTTAGATACTTAAATATATTTTCTTTTTTTTTAACTGCTTATCGTATCATAATAAAAATTACTGTAAACGAGGCGTCGCTTCAAAGGCCCGCTTAAGTTTTTACTATTGTGGGCTAAGCCTTAGGCCGACTTACAGTGCAGCAGATATTGGGCCGTTTAAAAATTTCAAAACCTTCATACGCGTGGATAGAGAGAAGCCATATTTTTTCAAGTATTTACACATCTAACATAACATCTAAAAGTACTTTACTTATAAATTTAATATCCAAACTTTATTAGTTATTCAGATAACACTTAGAACTTTAAACAACATAACAAAATAGTATGTTACTCTCCCTCATCATTACCTGCAATCGAAGGGATTCTTCTCGTACGGTGTCAGTCCAATCGCTGTGAGATTATATTGTAACTTCTGTAGATTTTCTTAGTTCGTCACCTGCCTTCACATTGTCGTCACTCATGCTGCTGACAAGATAGCGCCCTTCCTTACACACCTCTTATTCATTATCCATAATCAACATTCACACGCCACAGTTCATTGTTGGAGAAATTATTCTGTGCGGACGCCGAATGCCGTCTAGAGACCAACCACAATGAGCCACATCACCCCCTGCTTGGTACCCTGGCTCAGTACTGCTCGGTACCCGGATCGGTACCGCTGACGTGACGCATTCCATTTGATCTTCGAACGTTAAACTACGTTCGGCATCCGCACTGAATAATTCCTCTCATTGTTGAGGATCAACATTTACTAGTTATAAGTCCCTTTGCTGGTGAGATGCCATCATGTTGTCCACATACCTTCTTTAACATGTATTCTTCAAGGCTAGGGTTTCAAAATTTTGAATTGGAGCAATGTCAATCAATAAATAGCAATATTCGGGTGTTAAATAAAATATTTATAGTTATTATATGTATGTTTGTTTAGAAATATAGAAGTAGACCTAAAAGTCTTGTTTAAACATATCAAAAATGATTTTTTTTTTATTAGATATAATGAGAATCTAACCCTTAATAGGGCACGATGGAGAAAAATTATTCATGTGGCCCACCTCACGTAATGGGATAAAGACTTTATACCGTCAAACTCAAGACTTTATTGAACTTGTGCTGACATTCAATGACTTGTTAAACTTAATTTAGATTCTCAAATGATATAATTAATTTAATTCGAATGAATATATTGCTATAAAATTTAAGCAACATATAATTTAAATATAAAAATTACTGATAGTTCATGTATAATAAAGCTTTATACATGAGAAGATAATGGCTAACATCATGTCTTTATTTTTTTCTTACAATTTTAAAAATAATACTAAAAATGTTGCGGGCTAAAATATACGTGGTCTAAAATATATGTGGTGGTAGAGTTAAATTTTCTTGTCTTAGCATTGTACTGACGTCCAGCACACAAACAGAAGAAATGCAGCACCAAAATTTTATGTGGAAACTCATGAAAAGGGAAAAACCACAGGGTCATGCCCAATTGAAATGATTCCACTAGTGTTTGAGTAAATTACAATTGTATGATTCATCCTTGAAATTAATGACGATTAGATTACAATAGTAACCAGTTGGACTGAAATCTGAAGGTCGAACGGAATTCTAGAGTCAGTTCGTGATCGAGCAGAAATCGGACGTCATTTGGTGTTCGGACGGAAGTCCGGCGACCGAGCGGAAGTTCGATGATAGTCGGTGGCCTGGTGAAAGTTCGACAACACTCGATGGCCGAGCTGAAGTCCAGCGGTGGTCGAGAAGTCTGGTGGCAAGAGAACTCTCTTCCTTCTCTTCTTGCTGAGACATGAGGGGTTTATTTATAGTTTTCTAAGAGTTGCATGACCAGTAAATAGGAGGAGATTAAGGGTAAATTTGGAGCGTTTTGAATGGACGGCCGATGTTGAATCCCTTGATATGGACCGTCTACTAGGCATTTGAATGTCTTAACGATATCAGAATTCCTCCATCTTGGGCTCGTTGTATTTGACTCATTGAGCTGCTTGATTTGACTATAAGCATGTCACGTTTGGAAACCATATGGTAATCCAAATTATTGTTTGAGCCTTCTAAATGTACTTTGAGTATTTGATTTGGACCTATTTGAGCTCGGATTTGGTCGAATTTGACGTCATTGGATTTGTATTTTTGAGACGTTCAGTTCGATTGTAAGTTTGCTGAAATCGAAGTTCATATAATCTACGATTTAATTTTTGAAATTTTCAACTTGATTTTACCTCGAGATTCCAGCTCGATCAAGATTATTCTTTGATGATATATCAAAAAAACATGTTTGATTCAAGTGATAAAAAAATATTATCATATTATCTAAAAAAGATGATTTATTAACAAAAAAATGAAGATTTATATGCATATCATAAAATTTTTATGTATTTATATATTTAATAACAAAATATTTATATTCATTTATATATCATTGTAATATTTAAATCATGTACATTTTACTTTTATGATGTGACACCAAAAAAAGAAATATTGTTCAAACCATTCTAACCCCATTAGAAGTCAGATATCTGCTTTAATTTTTGCATTTGAACTCTCTTGTATGTGTTTGAGAATGATCTATGAGAGAGAGAATGTTTGTTTTGAATAGCTTCAGGTTGTTTTTAGCTGTCGGCTCAGATCAAGAAGTTATATTTTAAAATAGATCAATTTGATCGATTTTTAATTACAATATAAAATCTCAATCACTACATGCCGCAACCATTCATCGCCGCCCATCATCGTCCCCAACCTTCTTTAATTACTAACTATTCACTATCAATCATCACTCAACATCATATCATCATCATCATCGACTATCATTATCATAGATTGTTAGGGCCTATGAGAGCCGCAATAAGCCATTATTATAGGACTTTCTATTAAATTCATTTTACTTTAAATACAACATAAGAACTTAACTTTTTTTATTTATTTTATACTGAATACAAAAATTCTTAAAAATAATGTCAAATATGTGAATTTTTTGTGATCTATGACGTGCCTATAAAGGAACTTTTATTACGTCCGGTGAACGTACGTAGAGCTACGCTCGGCCGGCACTAAGATCGCAGGCACAAAACGAGAAATACCGAGCAAATACCGAGCAATACCGACAATAACGAGAAATACCATTATGTGAAGAAAAAATACGGAGTAATACCGAGTAATCCCAAAAAATACCGAGTTTTTTCTAAAAAACTAAATATTTTTTTGAATTGCTCGATATTATTCGATGTTGATCTTCACATAACACTATTCCTTATTATTATCAAATAATACCTAACAATAACGATCAAAGCAAAAATTGAGTAACAATCCTCAGTACGTAATAAAAGTTCCCTGTAAAGACCGAAGTTTTGCTCTCGATCCGTTCATCTTCGTTATGCCTCAAGCTTACTTAACCTTATCCTTCGCCAACCCTCCCTTCTTCGTCCTGCACCACAGGTCTCATCGTCATTCCCCCTTCTTCACCCTCTCTTCAAAACAGAGGAGCTCGCTTTTCTCCGAACACCACAAAGGTAACATTTTTCTTCTTCAAGTCTTTTCTTTCTTCCATGGAGAACCTCGAGCAAACTCGCGCAAAGTTATAGCCTTTAACAGGGACAGCGAACTACCCGCGAAGCAAGAAGTCGAATTGGTTGATGGGGTTGACAAAAATGCTCGCTTTTCTCAATTCGAAGAGTCCCGTAATTCTAGGGTTTTCGAGGAAGCGGATGAAAACGATGAATTTTCCGCGAAAACCCGAGAATTTGAAATCAAAGAAAATGTCGCTTTATTGGATTTTGAAGAACTCGGAGTTGCTTATAAAGAAGATACCTGCTCACTGGACGAGAATAAAAATTTTGAATTAGACGTTTCCAATGCCGTTGAGAAATTTGAGGGAATTCAACAAAACGAGAAAGATTTGGGGAATTTATATGCAAAAGATGGGTTTTTTATGGGTTTGGGAAGGAAAGGAAATAGATTTAATGTAGTTGATCTTGTCAAGAAGATCATAAGTTTGCCAGATGAGGAAAGCGCCAAAGTTCTTGATCTTTTTGACTTTGATGATAAACAATTCTCTGTTTCTGACTACAATGACATTCTCATGGCTTTAGTAAAAGCCGGTGAATACGAATCCGCTGAAGCTTTGTTCTCCGAATTTTCATCTCAGGGATTGTCTCCAGATTCTCGGTCACTATCAACAATGATACAGTGTTTTCTTAAGAAGAACAATCCGGAAAAAGCAATGGAGGTTTTGGATGTAATGTTGCAGAAGGGAATGCACCCAAATAGTTACACATTCACTGGTTTAATTAGCTGTCTTTGCAAGAAAGGAAGATTGAAGAAGGCTTATGAGGTTTTTGACATCATGGGTAGGGTTGGATGTGAACCCACACTCAGGAACTACAACTCTTTGATCTATGGACTATGCTATGTAGGTAAGGTTGAGGAAGCTTTGCAGTTACTGAACAAGTTGAAGAAGTTTAAAGAAGGTCCTGATATCTATTCTTTCACCTTTGTCATGGATGGGTTCTGTAAGGTTTGGAGAACTGATGATGCCAAGGAACTACTTGAGGAAGCTCTGAAATTGGGTCTAACTTCAACTAATGCCACTCACAATTGCCTTATCAATGGATATTGTAAAGAGGGCAGGCCTTTGAAATCCTTTCATCTTTTGAAAGAAATGGAAGGGTATAATTTCATGCTGGATATTACTAGTTATAATTCATTGTTCTTGGGGCTTTTAAAATGCGGCGAGATTCATGCAGCTTTATGGACTTTTAGGAAAATGAGGGAGGCTGGTTTTCAGCCAGATGATCATGCCATGAACAGGCTTATAAGAGATCTTTGTAATGGTGAAGAATTGAAAGAAGCTAAAGAACTTTTTGAAGAGATTAAAGATAAGGATTTTGGGCTATCAACTTATACTTATTGCTTGCTGGTTCAGGCGCTTGCTGAAGGGGGAGAGATTGATACAGCAATAAGTTATTTGAAGAAAATGATTGAAGATGGGCATTCTCCAAGGGTAATGACTTACAATGTAGTCCTTTGTATTTTATGTGGTGATGGTAGGGTAGATGATGCATTAGGTGTTCTAAGCCTTATGATTAATAGAGAAACCATGCCTAGTAAGTTTTCACTTAGCATCTTGATTGATGAGTTTAACAGACAAGGGAGATTGTTAGAGGCTGCTGGAGTATATTCTGTGGCTATTAAACAAGGACTTGCCTCCAATCATAAGCCTAGAAGAGACTGGATATATAAGAAAATAGTTTCTTATTCCTTACAATTAGGGACAGTAGAATAGATTGATAAGTGAAGAGCATCCTTGATTTTTTTCTTATTATTATTCTTTTATGTAAATAAGTTCTGTTTGATGTGAAAGTAAAGTTGAATCAGCTGCTAGTTTTGGTGATATAGTAATATGGTTCTGCCTGAACCGCCCAAACCGGCCCTTGTTGGGCCAGTTCGCATATACAGGAGGCGGAATAAGACTGTCTCCTTCAATTCAAGGACTGCATAATAGAACTTTTCCAAACCAACATGGGAGGAGACTTCTATGAGCAGTTCTTTGCTCTGAACGATCCTTCTCTAGAATATAGGATCAGTTGTATGTTTGTTTTGTTCTGGCTTCACTTTGATTCCTATAAGATTATCTACTGTATTTTTTTATTGTTTCCACCAAAGTTCTTTTATTTTTCTGGCATTTTTACCGATTATTATTTGGTTTGCTTGCAAACTCAAGTATTTCCTGTAAGGTTTACTTGCGAACTCAAGTATTTCCTATCACGTAGCTATTAATCTGATACACTGTTATGATATGTGACTGATAAGAGATATCTACCGAATGCTGGATTTAATCATCATAAGATTGATTTAGTAGTTGGACGTCAAGATGCCTGTCTTCTCTTTCTGAATATGGAGACTTCATGATCTTATTCATTAGAAGGCTGGATGATTAGAAGATTGCTCAGGGTACATAACAACAAAAACAACAATATCAGGGTACATACTTGTTCAAATTTGATCAAAAATCCACTCATTATGTATTTGTTGGCTACATGCCTGTTCAAAAAATCTCTTACCACTCGTCATTCTCATCAAATAAATCAACTAAGAATTCGTTTGGGATGCTTTCTTATTGCTTTTTGAATCAATTTTTCGGTACAAAAAAATTAATTTTTATACTGAAAAGTTGTTTTAAGAAGCAGTAAGAAAGCAGTCCAAACGAAGCCTAAGTGTCAAGCTCCAAGATTATCATCTTACAATACTGCCATGATTGCTCTTATCCAGGCACGCTTCATTTTCTAATACGTTGCACCATTTATGCAGAACTCTGACCAATATATTAGAATTTTGTTTGTGTTATTGCTATACTTGTGGAACCTTCGAGTTAGGAATAGGCAGTGTTGATTCAAAGCAGTAGGGAGCTATGCTACAGGATTGAAGGCTCTTGAATAAAACTAGATTTGGACGCCATACCACTTCCTTCCCATCATAATCCCACTATTTGCAAATTAGTGTATAAACTTAATTCTGTTGGGAAAATTGAATGGTACTGGTAGCGAAATGGATTGATCGCAAGGAAACTTATACTTTTCTGGTCAGGTTAACTACAGTTCATTGTTTGCTTGTTGTAGCCATGCCCAAAATTAGCCATTACATCAAAGGATGTCCAAAATGCTTTCCTTTATTGAGATTTACTTGAGAAATTCTTAGAACTGGTTTCATAAATTTTCTGAAAACATTCAGCAAAATGACTTTTTTCAATCTAAGGCTGAATTTTTGGTGATTCTTTTAGATCCAGGCTCATCTATGTAGATTACATGATCATAGCAGGCAATGATGATAATGCAAATGTTGCTCTTGAATAGTTCTTCCACATAAATTTCATATGAAGGACCTCAGTTCGATACAACACTTTCTTGGTACTGAAGTTGTCCATTTTCTGATGGTATTTCAATATCCTAATGAATGTACACCTCGATATCTTAGATGAAGCATGTTGTCTTGGGGACAAACCATTGTCAACACCCAAGGAAGAACATTTTAAGCTCTAAGATGGTAGTGAGCCATGCAATGCTTTATGGTGTAGAATGTTGGCCATTAAAAGAGAAGCATAATATCAAGTTAAGTATTGCAGAGAGCCAGAGATGAGGATGCTCAGGTGGATGAGTGGCTTTACTCTTAGAGGCAAGATACAAAATGAGCATATACATGAAAAGGTTGGAGTAGCTCCAGTGGAAGATAACATTAGAGAGAGTCGACTTAGATGCTTTGGTCACATAAAACAACAGTCTTCTGATGACCCGGTTAGGAAAGTAAATGTATTATATTTGACTTATGTTAAGAAAGGTAGAGGTAGACCTAAAAAGACTTAGTTAAAAAATATTAAAAATGACCTTTCTTTATTATATTTAGATGGGAATTTGACTTTTAACAGGACATAATCGATAAAAGGGACTCATGTAGCCGACCCAACATAGTGGGATAAAGGCTTGTTGTTGTTGTTGTAAAGAAATTTTAATATTAAACGGATTTTGTAATGCAGGTTTGGGTAGATGTTTGATCACAAGACGATCCGTTTACCATGAATGTATCAAACAAATCGAGATTGATTGGGGGGGAGCTAAAGTCCGCATCGGGCGCTTCCCATGAGCGGTTTAAAAAAAAAACTCGAATGAAATTTGCAAGCATATATTTGTGAAGTATATTGATTTTCCATAACATGTAAACAGTAAAGTGATTAATATTGCCAGGTTGTTCCTGAATGAATTCAGATAGGTGCTAATGGGCCTGCCAATTTTCCATCCACATGTTAGCTTGCTGATCTATTCATTAAACCACTTAATTCTTTCACTTTTCAATCCCATTTTAGCAACTTGATTTCCTTGATGACCTGCAAACTCTCAACTTAGGCTTTGTTTGGGACGACTTTTTTACTAAAAGCTGCTTTAAAAGACAGTAACAAAGTCGTCTCCAACGAAGCCTTAATGTACTTAATTTATTTCCTAGAGCAGGCTCTCTGATCTTCTATATGTACATGCTTTCTCTTATCTTTGTATTCAATAATTTAAGGAAATTCTTCAGCTTTTATCCTTTCATGGCCTTTTAAGCTTCTGCTACTGTTGTATAAGCCTTTTGTTCGAATATCATAAAATCAGAACAATCAACTTATTTCAGCTTTACTTATCGATAGCTCGACCTCTGTTCTTTCTCTTTGTGGTAATGAGTTGACAAAGGATCAGGCTTTTTTTCTTTGTCGGAGCTTAGTAAAAAATTATTTCTTCTAGTGTTCAAATTCCATTTTCTTATTTCTCCCAAAACTCTATAACATTAAAGCTAATTTGTTATCAATGACTAAACTCAAACCCTCACTTGCTTTAATATAATTTGTTTGTTTCCAACTGTAGAAAACTTATCCTGTTAATATATGTGTTGCCTAAGCAATATTTATGATCCTTTTGGATTCATTACTAAAATATCGAAGTTATGTTAGCTGTTTTGAAACCTCTAAACCTCTTAAGAAGTGAAGTTAAAATCTTGAACTTCAAGGATGTTTTTGGTTAAACGTTTTGGAATTTTATAAGAAGCCGCAAAATTAAACGTATTTATCTTTCTTTATTCATTTATACAATGATTTTTAGGCAATTGCCCCCTTTAAAATTTTAAAATACTATGATCTTTTAGGTAATTGCCTCTAACAAATAGTAAAGAGAATTCATCATTGAATTCCAAAAGTATCCTACAAATCAAAATTTGTTCCGGCAAGTCGAACCCCGCCCTCTGGACCCCCAAAATATACATCTTATAAGTTTATCCCCTAAAAATTAGGGTTGGTTGGTTCCGCCCTGCTCATATAGGAGCACACCTAGGATTAGGAGTGTTAATATTTGACACAGCTCCAAAACTTGACCCGAAAATTTTGGATTTGGGTCAACCCGTAGAGAAATAGGTTGAGTTCGGGTTCAACAAACCAATCTGCTTGAAAAATTAGGTCGGGTTCGGGTTGACCCGAAAACTCGGGAATGACCCGGATTGAACCGTCTGCCCGACCGCGTCGCGTCTGCCTGCGCGCGCATCCCCTGCCTGCCCGCCTGTCCATCACGTTTGCCCAGTGCCCATTAACGAGTAACGATGCTACCGTGATTTCCTTGTCCGAGGTCGCAGACTTGCCGTCGTCGGTGCTGCCTCGCCTCGCCATCCCGCGTCCAACACCTTCTTTGACGATGTTCCAACCGTGTCACTGCCAGCGTAGAGTGCACCATCGCCTGCAATGCCTTGCCTCAAATCCCAGGTTTACAAAAACTATGTCGGGTCGGGTCAACTTGATAACCCGATGGGTCTGGTCCGGGTTCATATTTTCGACCCCGTTTGCAAAACTGAATCGAACATGTTTGAACCCAGATTAGTTTCAGGTTCGACCCGTACCCGAACCAAAATCTGAAATTGACACCCCTACCTAGGATGAGTGAACTCTTGAGAAATTACATAAATGAGACAAAACTGTGAAATCGTTGGGCCAAAGCGAACAATATCTCGATAATTGAGAGCTTATGATGTTATAATTATTGCTCTTATTATCTCACCCTCATCGAGATCCTTATTTTCTCTACTCTTTCTTCTGATTTTGATCCCTCCAACTGTAGCTCCGGATTTTATCGCCTGGCCTAGCCTCTCTAACTTGTTGCTTGCAGATTCCGACAAAATTTGATCATCTTGGTAGAGTTGTTTCTAGTTGTTGATTGCCGAGTTGTAACCTTAAGCTTTTGGAAGTTTGGCTTTTTTAGGTAGAATTTCTGCTGGTTTAAATGTTCATATAACAGTTTCCATAAGTCTCCCCTAAATCTCAAAAACCTAGCTTTTCACAACTTCTCCTAACGCGACTTCTCCTTTTGCCCCAGCTGTTGTCCAATCAATCAAGTTACCATTCTCCCTAAAAAATATGAGCTTTGAAGTAGAAATCATGGCTTGCTATCACCCGCATAAATTCTTTGCAGTATCAATACTCCATTCTTCAGGATTGCAGCAATTTATACCATTGCAAGTTTACATAATTTCTGCACTTTCAATCGTAGCTAAACATTTGGTACAAGAAATCATTCCATGGCGTTTGCAGAATCGCTAAGAAATGCTCTGCAGCGAGAAGTCAAGAGAGTGGTCTTGCAGCATTCCATATATCGCTGCAAGTTTTTTCATTTATATTTGCTGTTTTGGTCCCTCAAATCTTTAAAAATGAATCAGAATAAACTCATGATAGAATTATTGTGATTCCTCTTCAAAGAGTTGGCGGATCAAAATGAACTT